TTTGCTAAAGCCTCACTTCAGTGGTCCCAGCTCACTCAACTTTTCTTAAGTTACTGACATAGTAAGACCGGCACTACCTAAAGAAAACTTACTCTCAAGAGACATTTACAGACACAGAATAATCTAGCATGCTAAAGCAAAAAAACACACAATAAAAATAGAAAGCAAGGCTCCTACATGAGGTTTTACACTTTTCTTCTAGATCACATGAAGAAATTGGCCTACCTGGCTGTTCGGTGTTTCCTTTTCTATCTGGAGCTGTTTGTCAAGACAAGCATGAAGGAATTTTTCAGCACCATTCAAAAACGTACAGTTTCTTTTAAAAACCCTAGGTGATTATTCAACAGAGAACGCCAAGCTTCCTTCTAGCTCAGCTGCAAAGCTCGCTAGGGGACACCACGCTTTCCAGGATCTGGAGGTAAACGCGGGCTGGGACACGCTGAACGTGATCCTTATGTCCCAGAAGTTACAGGATGTCTCTGTGTGCTTCATGTGCTCAATAAAACCTGCAAGAGTAAAGGCAAAGTTCCTGACCCTGTGGGTGGAACATGGCACTGTGTAGCACTGAGTAAATAAGAAGCAATTGATCCTTGGACTCATGTATGGCATCAGGTATTAATAAGGAATATACCACACACAGGAGTCTCTTTCATCCAAGAGAAATGCAGCCTGAAAAGCCTACTTGTGCATGCTCTTAGAGCAAACCGGTAGCTAGAGTGGCAAACAAGACATGTGCTCAACTTTCTGCAACCAACAGACAGATTTTCTTGCACAGCCCTCAGCTGGAGAATTTCAAACACAAAACATTTTCTTCCCTAAAGGCCAGACGTTTCATTATCACCTATAAGGACTAAAAGGTATGTAGCCTCTGTGGGACAATCCATTCCTTTAGGTTTTTATGGCACTGAGTACAAAAGGATCCAGATTCAGGCTTCTGGTTGCCATGGTTATGCTAACAAAACACGTAAATTCAGCTTTTGACTCTAGATTATTTAATTCAATGCCCTCTTCAGCCAAAAAAAGTTTGTGAAGAGAATTGTGAGACAGAGGAGAGACCGAGCTAGTCTAAAAAAAATCACCTAAGTACAACTACAATAGGCTGTAGTATGAAGACTTAAGTTTTTAAAAAAACCTTAATAATGGCACGTGCCAAGCCATACTAGTATTCCAGATTTCCCTATTCAGTAATACAAGCTTCCGACGCTAATTCACAAGCTTTGATTTGCACTGGTTGGCATTTTTACCACCTGCTTTAGGTGCGATGACATCTTCTGACTGAAAAATTCAGAATTAGTGTTAGGTTAAATAAGTAATTTTTTTTTTTTTTTTTACTTTCCTTGCAACATGCCAAATTATTGAAGTGGAAGGCTTTTTAAAAGGTAATTCAGATCTTCTCAGTCATCTTGTCTGGGCTTTTTGGGACTGTTTATTCTCAGTTAATGAAAATAGACTAGTCAATACCACTTCTGTTTATAGCCTATTTCAAATAAAGTTTATTCTGTAGTTTTCCGTGCAGTAGACAGGATTACAAACATGGCAGTGAAAGCTTCCTGCTTTATTTAAAATTCTCTGGTTAGGTAATGGGCCATGGCTATGACTAACAGGGTCACGTGAGCACATGAAGAAGGAAGGATAGCAGGCTGAGCAAACACTGAAATAAGAGTCAAATCCGTTCTCACATCTGTGGCAAATTATGGGCGAGTCTGTTAATACTGTTGTACTTCCATTTTCTTATTCATAAAAGGGAATAACAATTCTTCACTTCCTCAAGAGACGGAGTAGGATGCATTAATAAGGACTATGAGGCATTTAGAGTCGTATCAAGGACATCTCAGTACAAGAAAATTGCTAAGTCTCTCTCATGTAACAAAGGCCTAGGTTATCTCAAAGTCCTGGAAAAACCTGTTCAAGATAAAAAAGGGAATCTCACCTTCTCTGGCAGAAGTGGTGAACAAGTTTTTTTCTGCTCACTTTTCAGTTCTTGTGTTGGTTTGTGATACTATTTTTAAAACAGAAGAATCTCTTCTTAAGGAAATATAAAGGTGTCACAACAACACTGCAGGATTCAGGTTTAATATCAATAGTAATATAAAATACTCTCATGCCAGCATTTTGACTCCAGGTATTACAGCTATGAGTCAGTGCGCTAGTAAGACGACTGTTACCCAGAAGTCGGAAACAGTCTTGGAAGATATGCAAAATTATAATTCTTTCCTGTCTTTGATGTTTTGGTCACTAAAGTAAAAATAACTTAAAATTAACAATAGCTAATAATTTGGAACTAAAACTAGAACGTGAGATTAAACCTTTCCAAGCAGGAGAACGAAAGCCTTTTGTGTGTAGCTGAAAAGCTATTGTTTAAGAATGATGCAATATTTAAGGGGAAGAGAAAGGCTACATGCTGCTGCCTAATGGAAAATCATTTTGCAAGAACTACTCATAGACTGCTCCTCCCTTAATCTCCCTCAGCTTTTTCCCAGCAGCTTTCTTGCAGAGGAGAGCTTTCAAAAGTTGTCCCCTCTACAAAATACAACATATAGGGGAAGGGTTTCCCCTCTCTTCCATCTTCTACCTGTCTCCAGGTTCTAGCCTGTAGCTGGTACTCAAAACCTATTTTCCTTCCCCTGGATGAATTCAGAGTCTTTCTTTGTACAAACTGACCCTGTTTCCCCATCCCCGTTTTCTGCTTTAGAAATATCTTGCTATGTTGTGTCCTGCTCTATAGCTGTAACATGCAGGGGAAGAGGGGAAGACACAAGGCAAAGGACGGATCTCTAATGATTTCTCAGGGAGATTCATCCTGCAGGTAATAAGCACCCCAATCTTGCTGGAGTAAGAAAATTCATCATAACATCCTGACTGATGGATGCAAACACAGAAGAAAATAGGGTTTGCCTCTCCTGCCGATCCAAACAGGAGGATAAAACCATCTAACTGAGGACTGATTCTAAAACACAGATGCATCCATCAGCCACATGATTTCACTCATCATTTTGGACAAGGAGCAGTCCTAATTTATTCTCTAGAACCTACCACGCAGGCCTCGAAGACTATATGGATCATCAGTAACACATAATTGAATGTTAAATACATAAGAACGTGTGATGGTTGCGTGTGAAGAGAAGCAGACACTTTGAATTAAGAAGAACTCACGCCTACAGGCAGCTCAAAGCAGCTAAGCGCAAAGCTCGGTTCAGACAGACTGCCTATGCTACAAACCATCGGTTTAGTTCATAAGCCGTTGGCTTCAACAGGGAAACCACCTGAAGAAGCTCCTGTTTGCTCCCATCCTCAGAATAGGAAGTGATTCAGCCAAAAAATATATTTGTTGACATTTTCAGTTGGATCAATTCCCTCATCTAACTCACTGCCACAGTCACAAAAACGACGTCAGCCCAACAAGAATAGTGACAACAGGCTGGCTGGGGCCTGGTGAGGCCCACTTGAAGTTATTGCAATGCCTGTGGAGCCACAGGCTTACCTTTTTACATAGGTATTTTCAGCAACTGAATTTAAAACATGGCCTCACAAACACTTGTGTTGGCAAAACCCACAGGACTGTGATGCTAGGGTCCAGGAGGGATTAACTCCTTAAGCCACTTTATTGCTGAAACCAGTGTCTCATGGAAGTATAACTTCACACGTGGAGATAATACCAGCAAAAAATGCTCCCATAGACCCCTGTGATATGGGCCAGACAGTGGGTGTTATTGAAATGAGGGACGATGAGAACTCCTGCTGCCGAGTATTCAGCTTGACCGTTTACTGAGAAGCCCGTTTGATGAAGTGTGTTTGCAATAAGGCAACTTTAACTTGTCTTCAAAGACATGATCCAAATCTCTGGAGGAAACTCCCATGTATATTCAAGACAGCTACCCAAACTCACTTGCAGAATTTAAAAGTCTCCAACTGAGAAATATGCCACCAGATGCTTCCTGACATTTAATGCTAAACACCCTATAATGAGGCTATAAACAGACTTTCACTCCAAAACATATGAAGGAATAGCACAAGACCCAAGGGAGAGACAGCTCTGTAAAAATGCAGTTATTGTTACTGATTAGAATTCAGACAGGCCTCTCTGGCATTGTTAATTCCGGTTTGATTTGTTCTAAGGCACGTCAGATGTTTGTGGCACAAACAGACTCCCTGATGCTTGCATCATTTGGTCATGTAATCATTTACAGCCCACTGCTGTCATGAGAACTTCTGACCAAAGTTTCCATTTTAACTTTTGCAAGTAATGTAGTTGTCACCTTCCAGTGAATTTCAGGAAAATTTATGCGCCTACATCCCTTTGACTCCTGTGAAAAATCTCAGTTTCCCAGCAGTTTGTTAAAATGCCAGTGACATAACCTCCCAAGTGACAATTTTTGAGCCTTCTGGAGAAACTTGGTAGCTTCAACCATGGTTAAATACTCAGAGAGAAACCTTTCAGTTCGCTAAATGATCTTATTAGCTGTTAAATGTAGAGATCGTATTAGAAGAAAAGAACATTAAAAGACAAGTGATACCTCTTTATAAAACATTAGCGAAAGAACAGTTACAACAAAATCTGTTCTTAATAAGGTTGAAAATGACCCTCAGATAGAAACCTAAGGCCTGCTCAGAGCTCATAGCAGTAGAGCTAGACCAAGGTATGTTAAGGCCTGGTACTGTGGTTCAACTTTACTTTTTCTGTGATTTAATTCATAGCTAACATCATTAACATTATAGGAGATACTCTGAATTTACTACACTGTAATAAATTAGAATTTGACTCCAAGCACCCAACTATGTGGACAAGTAAAAGATCACAAAATGTGTGTTAAATTCATAGTCATTTAGCACAGAGAAACTTTTACAGCTGGAAACACTGAAGGCATTTTCGCAAATGATAATCAACCTACCTTTGTTTAGCAATGTCTACCCTGATTAGTCAGAGAGCTCTAAAATGTTACAAAATACTTATATTGAACATTTATTTTATTATTACATTAATTACAATAAGAATCATTAATAGCAAAATAGTGCATGAACAAGTTCAAGTTCCTATCCCAAAAACGGGCAACTCTGGCATAAAACTGGAGATAATGGAAACAGGAGAAAAAGGAGGCTTTACAGGACTAAGAAGCATGTGGAGAATTCACTCCATCACTATTAACAAGTTGGCTCTGCCATGAAGGGTTTTAACTCGCACAGTCAGACTCATATACAACAATACACATTCTAGCAGAGGAGAAATTTTGGCAAAGGGTTGCCAGAAACATAACAGTGCCTGAATAGTTTCCCCTCTACCCTTGGGACAGTATGAGTTTAGCCAGCATCGCAGATATACCCACAAAATTCTGTCTTACCCAACAATATTACTTAGGCTTTTGAAGAGAAGCATCTGACAAGAAAAAGAGAAATGATTTTAACAATGACACCTCAAAGTGAAGTTTAAATACACAGAAGTATAAGTAAAGAAAGGAGGCACGTTTTGTTACATGTTTTTCCCCTTTTGCTTGTATGGT